CAAGGAATCCGACGTTTCCGTTTCCTATCTTTATGGTCGGAAATGTTTTATGATTACTCTATACAGTTATATATGGAAAATATATCATATAGTAATTCTCTATAACATTTGAGGAGAAAACTATAATGATGACTTTGAATTGTTAATGGATTGATCGCAAATTCGTTTGTATTTAGCCCGTTAATTGTCATTGTAGTACGATAAGTTTGACTTCAAAGTGAATTTAAATTTTTCATGGAACTGAAAAATTGTGAAATTCAAAGAAAATATCGTGAATCCTGATTAAAAGCTACAATTACAGTACCTAAAGGTTTCCTTTGTGGGAAAGTAGCCATTATGTATATAAATCTTTTGTCAATTAAAATATCGAAGATTTGTTCCTAATTAAATTATTTTAAAGAGATATTGTGACGAGTTGTGATTACCTCTAATTTTCTATATAATTATTATTGTCCTGTTACACACATTTAGCAGAACATGGTGAGACAAAATATATGCCTAGCAATTTACCTTTGGGTGGGTTTGACTCTTGAGTAACGTAGAAAATATTCGTTTCGCAACGAAACGAAAACAGTCAAAAATGTCATCTGAAATAAGTCTCACTGTATATTAGACAGCCCAAATTAGTTCCTTATTTCCTGCTATTATTATTATTATTATTATTATTATTATTATTATTATTATTATTATTATTATTATTATTATTATTATTATTATTATTATTATTATTATTATTATTATTATTATTATTATTATTATTATTGTTGTTGTTGTTGTTGTTGTTCTTATTATTATTGGAAATTTCTGTCTGCCCTTACTGTATCCATTAAATAGCATTATACTTAACATAATTGTGCGAAAAGTTCTTGAAATTCTGATGTAAAAATGTTTTTTTTTCTCTGACACAGATCTGCGTAAATATGAACATTCCAGACTATTACGACGACGTATCCATCCGTTTGACGGAAGTTCTTAATCGATCTGGACTTGGAGATGATATTAGATGGTGGAGAATTAACACTTGGTTGCAAATAGAAGAATTGGAAAGACTGTTTACGCGAATCGTGGGTAACACGCGTTTTAAAATGTGTTTTTTTGGAAGTCAGCCTGAAGCAACCACAACTAATGAGTTATTGTCAGATATTGATCAAGTATCTATTCTTAATATCATACACGTTATACCGGATCTTCAGTTCCCTGGAGTCTGTCCTGAAACTGAGGAGACTGTTCTTATGGTGGCTGACGAAGACACGCACCCAGGATATGTGAAGCTACAACGTGTGCAGAGAAATGAGTCAATTCTTGTAAACAATCAACTGGATAAATTATTTCGCCTTGATAAAAAATGCCGTTCTGTTCTATGCAGTAATACTTCCGCCAGAAAATTCCTTGCGGCTGATGAGTATCATGGTCCCGCCAGTACAATATTTCACAAGGGAATATATGTGGACAGTGTATTTGCCCTGCACTCTATTTTGTTGGCCTGGGCAGGCTTCTCAGTGGTTGTTATCTAGAAGTAGAAAGTACAACTGGCCAACAAGAAGAATGATCGATGTAATTGAGCAAACGGGGGTTATATTGGTCCCAGTGGGTCACAAGTGATGAGTATGACGTAGAATGGAGACTATCTTTCACTTTTGGGGAAAAACTCCTGATGAAATTCAATTCTACTCAGTAAAAATGCTATGTCATGCTAAAATTTATAAAGAATGCCTTTATACATGTGGATGTTAAGGAACACTTGCTAACTAGTTATCATTGTAAAACGTGTATGTTTTACATGATACAAAACACATCAGCCTCTCTCTGGCATCCAAATAATTTGATGCTTTGCATTGACTTGTGCTTGAGACAGCTACTCTCCTGGGTTGAGTGCAACAATTGTCCCAATTATTTCCTACCCGAAGAAAATATGTTACTTGGCAGAAACCTGGGTCCTGTTCAACGACATGTTGCTGGTGTTTTGCATGATCTTCTGAAGCAGAAGGGGAGATATATCAGAAGGATTCCGTATGAAAGTATTGGTAAGAACGTTCTTAGAGTGTGTCAGTCACTTCCTATGGAACTTGACGAGCCAAATCGAAAGACCTTGATAACAACATTTGCGCATTTCGCACACGTGGTAGAATTTGTTTGTATTGCGGTTGCTAATCATAATATAAGTAACCTCGATTTATTTAAGCTATCACATGGAATAAGGCAAGAGGCTGCAAATTTAGTACAGTTATTGTATTGTTCTAGTCTTGGAAACCAATTAGCGTCACAGTGCCTAGAACAGGAAATACCTGATCAGGAAAAACTTATTCTGGCTAAGGAGTTTCTTCTCTTGGGATCGTCTTCTGATGTAGCATGTGGAAATTTGAAGCTGGCTGCATTGTACTTGACTCAAAATAATTTAGACAAAATGGAAGAGGTGCTTAATCACGTGGATGACAATTTTACTTCCATTTTTGCTGATGAAGACGAGAGCACATTTTCAAGGATTGTGCATGACGAAGTCTCATTAGCAAAACTTGCTCAAGATTATTTTGCTCTAGAAGTGTTCCACGGTCCATCAGATATCCATAGCATACCGAAAGTGCTGGTTTTAAAAATGTTCCGTTCCACGGGATCAGTATGGGGTGTTGACAGACTTGTAGCACATTGGATTCCTATAGCTCAAATTTCGCCAAGGTTATATCTTTATTTTCTTCAGTTTCAATGTTTTCATCTACAGGTACGAGTGGCACAAACATTGATTGCCCTGTATAACATGATGCTGATGTCTAAAAGTACACTTCAGTCACTGGATACCTTACTAGCTCGCACGGCTGATGTTCCTTGGCGGCCTGATTTCCATTGTTCAGCTTTAATGTATTTGACAACAGCGACTACACCTCTTAACCTGCTGGCATACTGTCTGAAACAGGGAAAAAATGGATGTATGTCTTTACACTTCTGTGAAAATCTATGAAGATGAAGAATCACTACAATGCAGCAAAGTGGCAGATAGTTATTTTCATCAACTCGCTTGTCAGAAGTTTTAAAGTCAGACAAAGAAGTGTGAAAATAACACCTGCATAAATTCACCTGTTGCGCAACATGTATTGACAAAATATTGCAAACCTTTTATGTTGTATTGACAAGATATCATTGCAAACCTTTTATGCTTTATGATATGGAACTCGGCAGTCTCTCTGCATGCATACAGTAACAACTACAACTTCTCTCCTGGATTAGGGGCTCAAAGTGTGTCAGCTATTTCATACCAGATAGGACCATCATTTGTGGTAGAAATGTAATGTTTATTGCAGCAGAAATGGAGATACGTCACTTGATTCTTTATAAAAACATTATCGCAGATCATGTAAGTTACTTCGCATGAAAATTGACACTCAGAATGAAAACGTCTTACAACTAACATATTTATTTATATAGGACACCTGTTAACATGCTGGTGTATTCCAAATGCTAATCATAATTGAAAGTCAATTGATTGGAGTCATCACATGGAGAAAGGCAGGTTTTTGGCAAGATAGTGCTTTGTCTGTTCTGTTCTAGTCTTCCAAACCGAGTAGCGTCACAGACCCTTGAACAGGAAATACCTAATCAGGAAAAACTTCACATGGCTCACGAGCTTCCTTTCTTGAGCTCATCTAATAATGTACCATATGGAAAATGGAAGCTAACTGCAACTGATAACTTGTACCCAATAGTAGAGGTGTTCAATAAAGTGGGTGCTCATATTACTCGTCATTTTTGTTAACACTTCGGAATGTTCAAAGGCGAGAGCACATTATCAAAGATTCTTCACGAGTTCTGAACAACAAACATTTGCAGGATTCTTATACATTGGTCCATCAGATATTCACAAGATCCCGAAAATACCGAGTTTTAAAAGGTCCGGTTGCACGGAACTAAACCAAGGTATTGATAGAGCTCTCGTAGCTAAAGTGAAGGTGAGATTACGACTTGAATTTCTTTAATACCAATGATTTTGCCTACAGGGAACAGTGGAACAAAAATTGGTGCCCCTGAAGATATCTTACGACGAAAGTGAAGGACCCGCTTTCCTTCTTTGTGATATGCCTAATTTTAAAGGACAGCATTATTTCCCTAATCTTATATCAGTATATATGTGTACTGAAATAACTATTTAGCCTACTGGCATGTTATCAGAAATAGGAAAGGAGACTGAAGGATATCTTTAATATTCTCTACAAATATACAAAGATGAAGTGTCAGTACAGTGCAGCAAAGTGGCAGATAGTAGTTTGTCTCACATCAGCGTCAGTATTTTAATGTGGAAGACAACGACACTGAAAATAGGACAGTACAACTAGAATCAAGTACTAATGATATTGCAATATACTATAAGCGTATCATACGAGATCACGCACCCTATATTTGTTTAAAATGTAAAGTGATATCCTGGATTAATGCACACCTGCAGTAATCTATAAATAGGGAGTCCTTAAACCTGATTTGAATACTGAAGAATTGTATAGAAAAGAGAAAGTTAGATGGTAAATATTTCAAAGTTTAATGTTCTGTTTTAATATAATACTGATGACATGCACTTCGTCTTTATATTTATTTTTATTTCCCGTAAACAAGGTACAGATGATGCAGGTTTGACGTAAACATGCCAACGTTTTATAATTGTTGTAAACTCAACAAGTCAAACTGCGCTATAACCCAATTTGCTTTAGGATATTACTCCGTTGGCTTAGTGGTTAGAGCGACCGCCTAGGTCGGAGGTTCGAACCCCAGCCAAAGACTTATAAAAATGGTAGTAACATATGTCTCGCTAGGCTTTCAGCATTAAGAGCTTAGTGTTTTGACTGGTCGGACTGGTGTCAAGATAATGTCACTGGGTCGGACATCATGCGACATATCTGCGGCATGATGCCCCAGTGCTAGACACTGTAAACTGTCACACTGCAGACATCGTAGCGATATGACTGAAAATCTTTAAGTGGTACGTTTAAAATAAAAATCACACACTAACACATTTGTGAGACTGCTCTGGTGGTCTAGTGGTTAGAGCTTCCGCCTCAGATGCGAGAGGTCGCGGGTTCGAGCCCTGGCTTAGTCATACCTAAAGCTTATAAAAATGGTAATAACAGCTGCCTTGCATTACAAGGTTAGGAGTGTTAGGTCTGGTATCAGGATATCAGGACAATGTGACTGGATGGGACATCATGCTACATGTCTGTAACATGATGCCCCAGTGCCAGTCATAACTACAAACTGCCACACCGCAGACATGACTGAAAAATTGTTAAAGCTAATTTAAAAAGCCAAAACATACACACGCGCGCGCGCACATACACTCGACCACAAGCATAAAATATCCACTTGTATCTTAAATTCACCATCACTGTAAAGTTTGATCCGCGTCTTTAACTCTTCATACGCATATGGGCGTGCACAAAATGAAGAGATGCACTTATTAAATTCCTGTTTTATTTTTACTAACACCTCTCATCGCACGCACACGTACACGCTCATGTAAAATATTATGAAGATTATGTATTATCTGGGTCTACGAAAGACAACTCGTCGATGCGGCATCCCGCGAAACGATTAATTCACACGATGTACCAGCTCTAATATTAATCATGCTAATGCTAATAATAATTATTATATTTTTATTATTAAAATAATAATAATAATAATAATAATAATAATAATAATAATAATAATAATAATAATAATAATAATAATAATAATAATAATAATAATAATAATAATAATAATAATAATAATAATAATAATAATAATAGCAATAATAATAATAATAATAATAATAATAATAATAATAATAATAATAATAATAATAATAATAGCAATAATAATAATAATAATAATAATAATAATAATAATAATAATAATAATAATAATAATAATAATAATAATAATAATAATAATACTCGTGTTCTGCGCATCCCAACATGCCATTATCACATTGTTTCAAACTGGTTACACTTTCGATACTTTTATAGTTGTCACCCAAAGATGATTTAATATGTTAGTCCTAACAGTAAACCACATGTCCCAGCTTTAAACTACAACAAAACTTGCATAAACTATTATTGGAATTAAGCTTAAACGAACATGTCTATCTTTTACATGAAAGAATATGTCTTGAAAGTTCTATACATTTTGATACATTGGTATATATTTTATTGTGCTAATCAGCATGGATGGAGCATATTTCTGGAACTGAGAGGAATCGTGAATATGTTTTGCCATGAACCAACGTCCACTTATCCTTGAGATGCGTTTAAATGAAACAACACATTTTTTAAATTTAACATAGTTCTTTAAATATTCACATGGTTTTCAGAGAAGATGACATAAGATGTTGCCGACAGGTTTCAAGGTGAATATTGGGTTATTTTATAAATGTCAACCTTATTAATGGTTATTAAACAGCTGTTGTTTACTTCCTGACTAAAATGCACGTCAAAGATCACACAGCAATAAACATGTATTTTTATTTTGTGGAACGTTCTTCAAACTGTGTTTACCGATCAAGTTGTACTTACCTGAGTTTACATAAAGGTCATTTTATAAGATTATTAGCTTTTCTTAAAGCACATGGTTCAATAACCTAGGATAACGGATAGTGCATGGCGGTTGGGTTGTTGTGGTGATGGCTGTGGAGATGTGTGATGTTAAAACACTCTAATGATTAGATAATTGTTGCAAGAGGACATTTTAATTATTATAAATTTTATGTAACGACCTCAGCTTGTGACTTAGACTGGTAGACAATTCATGTCAAAGATCACAAGACAGGAAACATTAGTTTTTGTTTGGTGTAACGTTCTTGGTAGATCTGTTTTCTGATAACCGCTCGGACTGAATTAATTTTTAATGATAAATTTGTTATTACCGTAGGTTTACATTAGGAATCTTAACCTTTGATAAACCACATGATTTAGTCAACATATGTAATTGCGTTTCAAACAGAAAAGGATGAAAATGTGAGTGCGTCCTATCTGCCAAATATAAAATCATTTTGATATAAACAACTTATAATGATAGCATGGGTAAAAAATCGTTATAATGAATGGTAGTGTTAAATGTATTATACTCTCTACAGTGATATATAACAAAGGTCGATTGTTTCGGTATATCTTTTTTGCTGCATAATTGCATGTACACACCTATTTCGCATTAGAAATTAATAAAAAACGAGTGTGCGTCACGTCATGACATCGTCATTTTTTACATCATGACATCACATCTTGGAGTTTTTAAAAGAATCGTTTGACAATGAGAGAAATAATTACGAAGTACATTGAAATACTTTCGATGTTTCAGTTGTCTCTATAAAATACATGCGGTATACGAGTATCCATTGCGAATGAAAAGCGGTCATTGCCTATTCACCTCGATGACTAACTTGAAAGACATCATTCATAAATTTGGATTTTCAAATAATAATTGACAACTGCATCAATTTTGTTGTACTAAGTAGTGTAAAATACATTTAATAAGATGAAAAGTGCAAATCAGTGATTATTCGTGGCATTTTGCATAAGTATCGTCAAAACAGTCAAAATTCATCTTCAATTCTATTTTTGTTTCTAAACATCACCCCGAAAGTTAACCGACCACTGCGTCTTATCGTTGATTGAGCTATCGTATTCAAATTCTAAGAGGGAAAAACAAAGCTGTGTGCAATCATGGTTAGGCATGTCCTCTAGGAAGGGATGGTTCGGTTTCTTTTGTAGCTAGCTATTTCCTGCGCTTACTGTGATGTAAATACTGATTAATGTACTTCTACATCAAAACCAAATGACACGTTTCGCAAGCATCCGGTAGCCAGGGGGTCATAGGTCCACATCGACTCTAGTCATATATAGCAGCCTAGTATCCGGTATCCAGGGGTCATAGGTCCACATCGACTCTGGTCATATATAACAGCCTAGTATCCGGTAACCAGGGGTCATACGTCCACATCGACTCTGGTCGTATATAGCAGCCTAGATTCCGGTAGCCAGGAGTCATAGGTCCACATCGACTCTGGTCATATATAGTAGCCTAGTATCCGGTATCCAGGGGTCATAGGTCCACATGACTCTGGTCATATATAACAGCCTAGTAACCAGGGGTCATAGGTACACATCGACTCTGGTCGTATATAGCAGCCTAGTTTCCGGTAGCCAGGAGTCATGGATCCACATCGACTCTGGTCTTATATAGTAGCCCAGTATCCGGTATCCAGGGGTCATAGGTCCACATCGACTCTGGTCGTATATAGCAGCCTAGTTTCCGGTAGCCAGGAGTCATAGGTCCACATCGACTCTGGTCATATATAGCGGCGTAAAAAGTATCTGTAGCTCCGCTATCTGAAAGGATGGAACTCGAAGAAACCGATACAATCCGATTAAACGATACATTTACCTACAAAAAAAAACTATGGATAAATTATAGCACTGTCTCTTATTAGTTAATCAGTTTTGCTTTATATTGATAGCATTGCTTCATGGGGGAGGGGGGGCGATTGTTCAAAAGACTTTTAGCTACTGCATGAACCAAGGATTGATGTGGAACGAATCGTAAGGATTATATATTGCAGACATGTTGGTGTTGACTTGCTGTTGCTTGCTATTATGAAATAAGTTAAAATAAATCACCAATTTCAGATATTAGTTGTCAAGCCTTGTGAATCAGTGAGAACTAGTCCTCGGACAAGTTAAAATTGAAATTAAGGTATGAAACAAAATACAAAGTAAAGGACTTTTCATCCCGGTGATGGAGTTCCGTCTCTCTCACCCATACCTCAAATTAATATTCGGGCGAAAACGTATGGTCTTCATATAATTAAAAGGAATGTAATTGACTTGACGCACACCATTAACACACCTGGGAGGCGAAAACAGAAGCATCTTTGTCATATTATTGTTAAATGAATATTTTGTTGGTGATAACTTGTTAATTTAATTAATTTAGTTGTACCTATCCCACGCAGAGAGACGTTAACAATGAAATTCAGCCAGACAGTAGTGGCTTACGTGTAACCAACGCTCGTAATTCAGAAATGTGGAAGAAACTGGACCAGAAAAGCATTCATATCTTCAACCAGAGGAAAAGAGTGAACCCAAACGGATATTAGATTATTATCAACAAATGTTTGATCATCTAACACGAACAAATAAAATATGCGAGACGTTGAGATTGTAGATCTTTTAGCATGATTTTATAGAACCATGTAAAAGTAATTGATATTCACCATGTAATATTGTGCCTAAACCAGATAATACATTTCGTGTATGTACTAACGATACAAAAGTCAACGCTGTCACCAAAACATAATTGTTTCCATTATATAGATTATATTACTACAATGACATAATTGTATATGCAAATTTTGTCACCAAGTTCTACCTCTTCAAACGTTTCTGGCTAATCTTAAAAATAAGACAAATAGACAAGCTCCAGAAAAATATTCCACAATCGAGAATGAATGTTTGGCATTGATATTAGATTTGCAACAGCTTCATTTGTATATTAAATTCAACTTTTTTATAATTGTATTCAGTAATCACATCCCTAATACGCGAATGAACAAAATGAAAAACAAAAATCAGAGTTTGTTGGCGTCGAGATTGATGTCCCAGGAAAACAATATTGACATTAGGTACATCAAGGGAAACTATAATGTAAGTACAAATGCACTGTCACATGCAAATAAGTACTATATTATATATGTTTGTTTAAACAGATAGAAACCTACATATTGTTTCCTAACATCTTTTCGTTTAATAAGCCCTTGTATGTATGTATGTATGTATGTATGTATGTATGTATGTATGTATGTATGTATGTATGTATGTATGTATGTATGTATGTATGTATGTATGTATGTATGTATGTATGTATGTATGTATGTATGTATGTATGTATGTATGTATGTATGTATGTATGTATGTATGTATGTATGTATGTATGTATGTATGTATGTATGTATGTATGTATGCATGCATGCATGCATGCATGCATGCATGCATGCATGTTGGGACCTACATATTGTTTCCTCACAGATATGTTCACACACAAGGGCTTATTAAACGAAAAGAT